CGACACTTACGTCCACACAAAAAATGGGCAGCGAGGGGAGGACACATTAGGGGGTGCGAGCCTAAAGTCTTGGCCAGTCCGGCAAAAAAGTGAGGAAAAAATGATCGTGCCAGACGGACCGACCCTATTTTGCCATCCCTAATTATTGTGATAGCCCAATTTGATGAACAATCCAATATACTTTGCATCAATGTAATGAAATAAAAAGGTAAAATATTTCTAATAAAAAACCACCATATTTTTAGTAAAAATGAAATAAAATATCGAATTTATTGCAATTTTTTTTTTGCATTTCATAAGAAACATGGTAAAAACTTTTATACATATATACTTAAAGCCCTTATGTTCTATATTCAAGTTGTCAAAATTTATCTTTTTTCACAAGTCATAGGGCACTATGACTGGAAATGAATTAAATTGCATTAAATTTGGCTCAACTTAAATCAACTCGATAAAAATTGATTTAGTTCATATTAACTTATAATAGTTTTTTATCCATTTGACTTTATTTGCCTCTCTGAATCACTAATATAATTGTTACACATGTAACTGTATTAACTATTTTTCAGCTTGTTCTAGTCTATTTAATGACTAATCCTTCTCATGTGAAGACAAGATTTCAAATTATTTTGACTGAGACTTCAATGCATTTCTTTTAATCAGTTTTCTTTGCCAGATGTGAATATGGTATTAGTAGGATAAGATTACTCTGATAAAGGCCTTATTAAATGTATATAAATCCTCACCATTTTCAAAATATATCTAAATTCATTATTTAGAAAATTTCATGGTTTCAGATAAAGGTATCTTACGATTTAAACCAATACTTAGTAAGTTAAGTTTTTACTCATCTCCAAATAGATTTGTAGATAAGCTTTGAACCAGTTATTCATTAGAACAAGCGTGCATAACTCACACGTGAAATCTCAGTACCATTGATCAAATTATTAATATGACAAATTTAATAAGACCCTGTGTCTCATATCCTTTTCATGAGAATTTAAGAGTCAAGCCCTTGAACTCTATGAAGCGACATCACTTCATTCTCATATAGGTAGACTATATCAGAAATGTACCCATAATTATGCATTTCAGCAAACATATACTATATGTTTATTAAGAGGAAAACCTCATCCTACCACACTTATTCTTATGGTCCAAATACTTTTACCCCTTTGGATGTATCTATCATTAAGTACTTCAATCACTCTAATAGTGTACTATCATCATTGAACTCAAGACTTGACAATAATCAAGTGCGAGTCGAGTTTCCACTATTGATGATTAATTAGATACGAGTTTGTTCCATATCCCTAATGATACCTTCATTGTATTCAATTATATCCAAATACATCATATCTTTGTCAATCCTTTTGTCAAAGAATTGCAAGATTTTTTCTAACTTTAATAAATTCCGAATATTCAATTTTCAATTAATCATGCATATGATTACTTTATGTACGTATGTTCTATATTCTTGATAGTTTCGATAAACTATCATCATGACACTTTTGTCATTTTTTATTTGCTAGCCTTTTTAAATTGTAGTTTTATTACTTCCACTTAAATATATATAAAATATATTTAATGCATTAAACATTTATAGTAATCGACAACCACGACCAAACAAATTTGTCATGATCCTAACTTTTATTTCATGAAGTGAATTCAACCATGTAATTCATAAACTCCATATAATTACACCACCATAGAATTCATTTCTATTATTTTAAAATAAACAATTTTCTGGCATAACTAATATGCATAACAAATTTTATATGATAAATTCATGTTTCATATTTAACAATGTTCTATGATACATCCAAATAAAAATCACAATACAAAGTAAACAATGAATTCACATCGTTAATATTTTCTATAACTTTTCTCCATAAATATTTGTCAAATTACAATAATCTAAAATATACCAAAATTGCTTTTAATATCAAGATGAACAGGAAATAATACTTTCATATTATGATACACATATAATATGAGATAAATCATTTTAAATTTAATAAATTCTTGAACAAACTAAAATGCAATTTAAACATGTCCTTAATATTTATAACATTTTATTTACATCATTTCATATTACCAATACATGTACCAATACATTCAAATTCATGATTTTTTTTCACCAAATCATTTAATCCAAAATTAATGCATTATTAATTAAAACAAATTACTTGCACCAAAAATAATATTTAACATGTATTTTATATTTAAGTATACATCATAAACCAAACATATTCTTAATTATTCAAATTCACATACTTGAATAATTTATAAATCATACATATATAAATTTATTCCACATGATAAATTTAACATAAATAAATATTATTTTTAATATAGTTTACATGAATTTAAAACATCATATAAATGACATATTTATTTAATATGACTACGTACCTTTCACCATATTGATGAATAAGAAAGTATGAATGTTCATTTCTCCATTGTAGTCACAAATTAACCACAAACAAAAAGATCCATAAATCAAAATTTTCATAATTTTGATATTTATATGAATTAACTGTGTACATTTCACCGTCATTGAAAGTTGTTATCATATTCTTTAAAATTGCATATTTTAATACTAATTATAAACAAGGTATGAATCAAAATCAAAAATCGAACCTAAAGATTGTTAGATCTTATGTTGGGAGTCTGCTGCAAAATACGAACAAGAAGAAGTTGAAAACGGTACGATAAAAGTTGCACAAAATAAATTCCAAAGCGTGTGTTTACACTAAGCTTTAGGTTCGATTCACTCCCGCAAATTGGATGCAAAAGGATTAACCGGCGAATCCCCTTTTAGATACTTTGGAAACCTTAACATGAATCGCACATTCACATTAGACATACCGATCAACAATATTTTACAGAATAAAGTTATATTATTTATTCTTGTGCACTAGAAAAATAAAAGAATGGGTTAGATATAATTTTTGGCATTTGAAATAAGTAATTTTTGTGTATATTTTATGTCGAACAAGTATCTCTATTTATAAAAAAACTTATACCAATTGGTGAGGAGAAACAATATTTCAATGATTTAAACATGACCATTCGCGAACCATTATATATCAATAATAGCAAACCATTTCATTAAAAGTTGTGTTGATCGGGTGGTTGCACCTTATGACCACACGCCTTATCAAAATAAGGTCTTTGGTTTAATTCTAGAGAGTTGCAACTTTTGACCATTTATTTTGGTAATTTTACCATTATTATTTGTCAGTTTAATATCTAGGAAATTTCTCTAACACAAATTAGGGTTCCTTGATTGGATCTTAATTTGACTTGACTCCACCAATCATATTGCTATCGGGTGGGATCGTTATAACATGATGGTTATGACTTGACTCACGAACTCTATTGAATCATAAATTGTTGAAAGCGTGTTGTAAATGGACACAACACATGGAATATGGAAAGAATTACAAGATCACTACCATTCAGGCGAAATTTTGTAATCAAACCTTCAAGAAGAAACATTCATTCCCAAGCAAGGAAATTCCACAACCACTCAATATTTCACGTATTTGAAAATTTTATGGTAGGAGTTGGAAAATTTCCGCTATATCCCGATGTGTGCTTGTGCTTTCAAATGCTTGTGTAACCTCCTTTAAACAATAAATGAATACTGGGAGAATGACTATGTCATTTGCTTCATGAAAGGCCTTAATGAACAATATTCAATAGTTCACTCCAACATCATTCTTATGTAGCATCTCCCACCTATAAACAAAGTATTTTCTCTCTTAATTAAGCAAGAATGACAACTTGCCGCACACATAAAAGAAGACAAGTTTGTAGCTCAAGTCTCAAAACCTTTCAACAAAGCAAAAGCCTGAGATTCCAACAACAAGCTTTCTTAAACTAATCATAGGCGAGGTGTCAATATTTTTACATACTATTAGAAACCCGGTCATACAATAGAAGTGTGCTTCAAAAAAACATGGTTTGCCCCATACCTCAACAAGGCCAATTTAGCTCACTTTACTACATCTGAAGATGGTGGTATGAAGAACACTCAACATCAAATGAAGTCTCTCTTGAGGGCAATTCTATTGGGTTTACTATTGAACAACAAACAAGCTAATTTTCCTAAACCTACTATACCTGTTTATGAAGAAATGTTTCCCTATTTAACCATCAAACAAACTACAACCACTATGCCTCATCCTATATTCCCTTTTAGCCATGGCAATTTCCATGACTACATAGAAGACCAACTGTACACCTATCCCCTAAACCTATCCTACATGTTTCTAAACCTAGCACTTCTCCCACCAATTTCACTGTTATTATTGGTCAATAATCTAAAACTAGATTTAAAATTGATACAAATGTCTCTTTTTAACCCAATCTTATATTTCATCCCATAGTAAAAAAAAAAATCCATCATTTTATAAAACTCTCTTTAAATACTCTCATGAGAGATACTCAAACGAAAAAAATCTAACTATCACATACACACACATTCAAGAAACATAAATTATTTACATACCAAATCAATTATAAACATTTCAATTAATTTAATTAAGGTGCTTAATTTTTAGGCTAAAGTTAAATAATTTTAATTGAAAAAACAAATCTCAACAAATTACTTGTTGAGTGAAGTTTCGAAAGCGTTAAAACTTACTAGTACACAGTAAATACCAATTCACATACGTAGAAAGTAACACTATTCAATACAACATATAATAAAAAGAAAACTAAAATAAAGGGGCATTCCGAGAATTGAACTCGGGACCTCTCGCACCCTAAGCGAGAATCATACCACTAGACCAAATGCCCATCTTGTAAAGTTTTTCGACTAACAGTTAATTATTGTGCAAACCATTACAGAAATGACAAACACTTTCTATCTCTGAAAAATAAAAACCCGCAATTTTTTCCCTCCAGAAAATGTCGTTATCTTTAACCCTTCATGTTCTTTCAATGCCCTAATTCGATTTTAGGGTTTTCTTTTTACCTTGACGAGTCCAATGGCGAAACGCGAACAAAATCGCATTCTCACAAACGATGTTGACACTGAACCATTCGATGACTCCTCTTCACACTCAAGTAAATCTCTCTCTACGATTCATCGATCTATTTTATTAATATTAAACTTTAATTTTTATCATTTTTTTTTATAAATTTTGTGTTCTAACTGATTGATTCACAGGTGAAGAGGACGATGACAAAGAAAATCAATACTTTGAAGATACGGTGCCGTTTGACGACGGTGACGCCGCATTTGAAACTGAGGTGGTGAACTTTGATGGGGAAACTGAAGTGTTGGATATTGCCGGCGAAACTCAGAAATTGGATGATTTTGATACACAGATACTGGATGAAGGGTATGAATCTGAGGGGACGCAAGTTTTGGAGAATTCAGATGATGAGGTGTCTGTTGATGATACTCAATGCATAGACAGTGGTCCGGATAGCACGGTGGTTACGGATCAACCGACTACTGAAAGCGGCTCTGACAAGAAGCAAACTGGTTCTGGTAATTGATTCCTTTACCAACTGGCAATTTGTTTGGTTGTATGTGAATTAAGTGTATAAGGACTTTTAGTTAGTGTGTTAATTTACGATGTTGATAACTAAAGTACTGTTTTGTGTCTGTTCCTGGTTTATTTTCAAATAGTGAAATGATTTGTAAAAGGCTAAACTTATATGGAGTACTGTAGTGGTGGCTGATAGGAATGTAGTTATATATTTTGTTAATAATAGTATCAACATTACATGTGTTAATGTATAAGTTTTGTCCTTATTTTAATTGTATATGCCATTTTCACATCACTTTCTTTCTATGGTATTTTATTTCTGAGTATTGTTTGATTATCTCCACTCTCACGCTAAATGCGATGTAAAGTTAATTATTGTGTGGTTTCTTTTCATGTGAATATTCTTAATTTCTTTTGATTTCACTAGCAAAATTTATATTTCTTTCAGGTTCAATGCCACCACGGTTTACCTTTATCCGTGTAGAAGCTTTGCGGCAGGCTGCTTTAGCTAAAAGCAATTTGAATTTGAAACATACCCACGATCAGTCCAATCCTGTCACGGGTATGAATAAAAAAGAATCCTTTCTTGGACCTCCTGAGAAGGTTGGGGAAGTTGGTCAGGAACTCAATCATGGGAAACACAATGTGGAAGTTGTGGGATTTGAGAATGAAAGTATGTCTAACTTTGCTAGAACAACCGTAAGAAAACTTTTCAATGATGATTTACCTGTTGAAATAAATGAGCCTTCACTTAGCAACAATGATTTTAATGAAGTAGATAGCTTGGACAAGTCTCCTGACTACCATGGAGAGTTGGAAAGGTTAAGCTATGTTAACTCTCAGGAACCCGGAGAATTATCACAGAACAAGGCTCTTGAGTGTGTAGATAGGTTTCTCAATAGTAATTTTATGGAGCTCAATGAAAAACCTAATTACTTTACGAATGTGGAGAAAAAGTCAAAATCTCTTCCCTGCTTTAAAGGGTTACAAAGTTTGTCCAAGAGAATTAATGATAGAAGCAAAGCTAAACAAACCGAGATTTTTGATTGGGATGATAACTGCGAGGATGAAGGTGGAGGAGATATATACCTAAGAAGAAAGGAAGATTTCTTTAAAGGTGAAAGACACAGGCCAAGATCTTTGCCAGGATGCCGGAAAGTCAAATCATGCCGACCAAAAGGTGATAAGGAAGATGAACAATCAAGTTTACCTAATAGAAGGAAAGCTGCAGGTCATTCTGAATCAAAGCTGGGGATGCATAATCTGAAAATAAGGGATGACAATAAGCAACAAGCCACAAGAAAGTTGGAAAGGAATATTGCTAATGAGTTAGATGAAGAATTTAACGCCAATTGCTCTAGAGGAGAGATGGGACCTAATGGCAATGAAGATGGACAGGAAATGTTAGATGTAGGTTTAGATACTCAAATAGCTGCTGAAGCTATGGAAGACTTATTAAACACTGTGGAGGTTGCTGATCACGTTGCTAATGATGCTACTCGTGTTACTAGAAGTAGGTCAGCTTATCAACTCAATACCTCTTCCACTGGAAAAATGGGGCCAGTTACACCAAAGGAACGTACAAGGAAGTATGACAAGAAAAAAATTGGTGTAAAATCAGATTTGAAAACTTCAGGTTTATCCAAGAAATGCACTAAAAAGACTGGACAGCGTGAAAAGGGCAATGTGATGAGCAGATCAAAGAATATTGCTAATGAATTGGACGAACAGTTTAACGCTAATTGCTCCAAAGGAGAGATGGGACCCAATGGTAATGGAGATGGGCAGGAAATGATGAATGTAGGTTTAGATACTCAAATAGCTGCTGAAGCTATGGAAGCCTTATTCAACACTGTGGAAGTTTCTGATCATGTTGCTAATGATAACACTCGTGTTACTAGAAGTAGGTTAACTTATCAATTCAATAACTCTTCTACTGGAAAAATGGGGCCAGTTACACCAAAGGAACATACAGGTTTATCAAAGAAATGTACTAAAAAGGCTGAACAGCATGAAAAGGGCAATGTAATGAGCAGATCAAAGAAGAGTAAGCTAAATGCAGATGGCAACCAAACGTCTGGTACTAATAAAAATGGTAGAATAGTATCACCTCCATTAGGTGAGCAAAGAAAGTCAGCTGAAGCTTTAAAAAGACATCACCTTGATGAGTTAAAGAATCTTAAAAGTAATGACGGAGGTAGTACTGTTGATAGAAAGCGAGTTCAGGATGAAGTTTTTCATTGCACACCAATTGCTCGTAGAACTAGACGGTCCTTAGCAGTAAGAGAAGGGGCAACAGGGATTGACCCCCATGAGAAAAGTAGTGGGTTAGGTCCTAAATCTACTCCAGGGTCTTTTGATAACTTTGCAGTAGATGATAATACTAAATTGTGTCAACAGGAGAAATTAGCTTCAAAGGAAAATGTTGTTAGTGTTAGTAATGGCATTTCTGTTGATACATTAGATTACCCTAGAAGAAGGAGATCTCTTAGGATTACGAGGTTTTCTAATCATGACGAAGGATCTGAGAGTTTAGTTGGTTCGTCTAAGTCATTCAAGCAAAATGGAGATATTGGGAAAGGGTCATCTAAGTCATCTGAGCCAACTGAAGATATCGAGAAATCTACTGCTCGGAAGAGAAAAACGAGGACACATTCTGTTATCAAATCGCATGTGATTAACTACAGTCCTTCATCTTCACATGGTGGTTTGGTAGTACCTTCTGATGACCAAATGCAAAGAAAAACTTTGGAGTCCAATTTGAACTCAAATGTTAAGAATAATGCAGAAGTCTTGTTGTCCACCAAAAATTTGGAGGTTACCATTTCAGATGAATCAGTAAGAGATGGATACAAGTCACCTGACATGGCTACCACATCTCCAGCTAACTGTAAGACACCGGTGAACGACGCATCACCTGTTTGTATGGGTGATGATTATTACAAACAATCATGCAAAAGAAAATATTCAAAAGCATGTGATCTCAAAGTATTTCGTGTGGATCTTCGTAAAGAACTTAGTAGCTTAAATGCCATTAGACCTGAATTAATTACTCCCTCTAAAGATTCAAGGAAGAGGAAGGATATGGCTGATGTTCGAATTCTTTACAGCCACCATTTGGATGGAGATATTGTTAAGCATCAGAAAAAGGTAAGATCTGGTTTTTTATAAACTTCTATTGTTTAATACATACATCTAGCTGCGTTAAATTTAAATTGTTTCTCATGTTTATTACAGATACTAGCACGACTTGGAGTTTCTATGGCATCCTCAATTGCAGATGCAACTCATTTCATAACCGATCAATTTGTGCGTACACGAAATATGTTAGAAGCTATTGCCTTTGGCAAACCGGTGGTCACACACTTATGGATTGAGAGCTGTGGACAAGCCAACTGTTTTATTGATGAGAGAAATTACATATTGAGGGATGATAAAAAGGAAAAGGAGTTTGGTTTCAGCATGCCAGTCTCACTAGCACGGGCTACCCAGCATCCTCTTTTAGAGGTAAATGTAGAACTCATGAAATGGAAAGATCACATATTTTGACCAATGGATCATGTTTGTATTGTCACTAGTCAGGATTAGATGAACCTTTTAAATGATCATACTCACACAGCTTAAGTAATTTCTATTTTTGATCATCTATGCAAATATTGCTTGGTCATATTATGCATATGACCTCAATTAACTTGAACCATATCTGTATATATGCTAGCAAACCCTACCCAATGAGATAAAAACTTGGTTGTTTTATATGTCTCACGAAGACTTAATCCTCTTAACAACTTTGATGTCTCTCTAGCATCAATTGTAACAGTGTCACTTTATTTTTCAACTTGTTGCAATTAAATAACCTGTTTTTTTTAGTGTCGGTCTTGTACCTTTTGCTGATGTGAAATTGTGCTGCGTCATCTACTTGTATCCTTCGTTAACAAACAAGGTGTTGTTAAATTTACTTGTCACATCAGCAAAAGGTAGTCTGTCTCATCAATTGCTTGAAGGGGTTAAATTACTACACCAAAACTAAGTAAATCAAAGTTGATGTCAAACTAGGAAAGGACAAAAGCCTAATTAAGCCTATTTCAAATACAAACATATGCATTTTCTTTCTGTTGCTCATGATAAATCATCATAATTTTCTGCAGGGTCGAAGAGTATTTGTCACCTCAAATATTAAACCTAGTAAAGAGATCATTTCAAGTTTAGTAACAGCAGTTCATGGTCAGGTATGCATCTTTCTCCGTAATTAATCTTCAGTTATGTTCATATGTGATTGAAGAAAACATGTGTTTGGATATTGTCTCGTTTCCAGGTTTTTCTGTGAAAAATTCCTAGATTAAACGAGTTTTCTTTGTCAACTTTGTTGTAATTTATGTTTTATTATTAATCAGTATTGTGGTTCACTAATGATTTTTAGTCATGAAACTGTCTATTGTTGTCTCCGGGCTCAGAAATACAGATATATGTTCATATAATTGAACTATTTTCTCCCCCTTAATATCTCTTTGCCTGTGACTGCGTCTCCTAGGCTGTGGAGAGAGTTGGCAGATCTGCTTTGAAGGACCATAAAATTCCAGATGATCTTCTGATCCTTTCTTGTGAAGAAGATTATGCCTCTTGTGTGCCTTTTCTTGAAAAAGGTTAGAAACTGGTTCCTTTGACTTTAAAAACGTATCCTCTGCACAAAATTAAAATGCTATGTGTTGCAATTTCAGGGGCAATGGTGTACAGTTCAGAATTATTGTTGAATGGCATAGTTACTCAGAAGCTGGAGTATGAAAGGTCTGTTTGTTTTTGTGCTCGTGTTATTAATGAACTTGAATCTCTCTGTTGGGATCAGTGTTTTCATTGGACACAGGTCTTGTCCTCAAGGGTAGGAGGGTCTTAGAACTTTTTTGCAGAGCCAATTCCTTATGCAGGATTTATGCCACCAACATTTTAATTTCTAATGTGCTTCTACACAATTGCATCCTCTAGATTGTAGATTTCATGATTAAGGTTATGCATGCTAATATTTATGGTAGTTTATTCCTGATATACACCTTTTGGTTGTAGGCATCGTCTTTTTGCAGAACACGTGAAGAAAACCCGTTCCACCATATGGTTGAAAAGAGATGATAGAAAATTTGCTCCTGTGACTAAATGCAATTAGAGTTGTTTGTTTCTTCGCTCAATTTTCCTCATGGTTATTTATAGTTTTGGTCATATGTAGATTTTTCTTGGCTCATATCCAGACTATTTCTTTAATGTATATTTGTTATGGAGAATAATGTGAAATATGTTTTTGCCTTCTTTCCTTTCAGTTGTGATCTTAATATATAATAAGAGCAAGAAATACAATCCCATCATTCTGTGATTCATGGTTCCCTCAGTTTGAAATGAATCCAACATGACAAATAATTAGGTGAGATAATTAGAAGCTTAACTTTACTCCACATTTGGTTTAAAGTCTAGTGAAATGAGAACTGTTTTTATCCCTTTTTATTGTGGGACAAGATTGTACAGCCAGTCTGTGATCACCTCTTATTAATCAGTGATTGCCTCTTATTAATGCAGTAAAATGAAACTGTGAAATGATATTCATGTAATGTCAATTAAATATACACCAAATGGTAATGGGTTAAAGTGAGTGCAAACTGAGAACCAAAAGTGCTTCATAGCAACTATCTGTTACCAACCAATTGTCTAATTGATTTGATTACTACTTAAGAAAGAACAATAGTGGCTAAGACTAATGATGATGCAACTCGTGAAAAAACACTTTGTAGCTGCGCTGAGGAACCTTCCGAAACATAGCCAAAGCCAGATCAAAGTACAGAGGTAGTTGAACCAAAGCAAAAAATGAGACAGGCAAACATGTAGCAGCATATATGGGATAAACTGCAAATCTCATCTGGCTTTCAACAATAAAGAAATGCCCTGCACAGAATGAAACCAACACAGATGCTATAGATGTAAAGAGCGTAGTCAGTCCAAGAAGAAGCTTTCTCGGTAAGTCCACCACAAAATCCTTTTCTTGAAACCGAGACGTCAGTATCGAAAGAAACAGAATAAGGGCCGTAACAGAGGAGCAAAGTGCAACAAGTGATGCAACAGCATAGAGTTTGAATGCAGGCTTTTTTAGCAGTAGTGGTATACCAGATTCTTGATCAGGACCACCTGGTATAGCTGTTGAGGTTGTGAATGCAACTGATGCAACAAGTGCTGCTACCACTGAACATGATTCTGAGGTTTTTGTGAGCCATTTACTACCTTCTTTTGCAAGCTGTCCATGAGTATCAATAAAAACTTGTTTAGCTGTTTTCCCATCCTTATTATAACGTTCATAGAAATTAGGTGGCACGGAGTCCTTAACAACCTGAAAAACACAAACATCATTAGTAACTTGACATGATCAATTGCTAGTTTCTGAAGATTTCTAAATCATTAGAATAACTATGAAGAACTTAATATTATTTACCTTATACCATTTGTATTCCCACTGCATTTGCATTGCAGCACCAGGTACACGCCAAGGTCGAAACCTCCTATAAGTAGCAGCAAGGTGCAATGCACTGTTACCGTTGCTATCGACTTGACGAAATGCAGTTTCTTTGATTACACTTCTCTTATTTAACATACTATACACATGAGGTTGCCTATTCTCTATGGCCAAAAGAACAACATTCTTGTTCTGAAAATCCACATCATGTATAGCCACAGGATACATATCTAGAATCTTCTCAATCATTTCTGTTACTCCCATTTTTGCTGCAATTAAAATAGGCGACATCACTCTTCTTTTCTCAGCAGCTTCTTTTTCTGCTATGCCCTTTATTTTACTTATGTCACGATCATCATCGTCATCATACTCTTCAATATGAGGACTTGGTCCTGTAAAATCATACTTATAAAGAGAAGCGCGTTGAATCAGTTCATTCATCACTTGCTTTGCTCGAATGTGTTTTTCCTTCTTTCGTTGTATTTTCTCTATCCATGTCGATCCTACGAAAATGCCACCTCGGTTAAACTAACAAAACGCAAGTCTTTTCTAATGAGAAGACTAATGCGTTGCTAATTTATGCACTTACCAACACCAAAAAGGATTAGGAAGGACTTCAATGTAAGGATTAACAATCGGATCATGGATTCCCAATTTGGAGGGAACCTATAATTTTTTTTCTCTTTCTCTGCTTGCCCTTGCTCTTCATAAATAAAAGTATATGTTATTATAATAAAGGGAACCTGTATTTTTATACATTTTGAAATAAAACGCATTGTGCACCAATTACTTGCGCAACAAGCATCATGGTTTACAAGAGGAAATTATAATACCGGCTTTTCGCCAAAAACTATTCTCTTCATCAGTAGTTTCTGTAGCATCAGTATCTTTTCCCGTTGCTGTAATATAAATAGAAAAATGATAGATGAGTTAGAGTCTAATATAGTAATTACACTATAAGTAAAAATAGAGAGCAATAAATGAAAACAATTTGACATACTTGTTACTTTAAAACAGCCATTCAACGAAGATAAGAAGGTCATGCATGTTCCATAGTTCAATGGATAGTTGCTTGAAGTCTGTGTGTGTGCTGAAGTATTATAACTTTGGTCGTATCTTTCTTCCTTTTCCTCATCGACAATCGAACCTGACATTCACACAAACACATGTTATTACACAAGGATCTTTCTTCCTCGAGAAAGACATTCGACAAGACTCAAATATGATTACTTTTTAAAGAAGAAATCATATAAATTAGCATAGAAAAGTGATTTTACTTACATGCGTAGATGATATTATCGATTAACTCCATCCTTGTGCAGCTTCTGAAACAATTAGGCTTCTTAGCAAGAATATGCAGAGGTGATAATCCTTCATGGTTTACACCGTTCACAAGCTTTGGATACATTCCAATTATTCTAAGCGCCAAATCTGTTATACACTAGCATCAAATTAATATACACAAGGGTGTAATTTATATATGTTCAATATATGGCAATGAAACTAACCAAAGTATTCTGATGATATGGTAGAATGAAGAATGGTATCTCCGTTGTTTTTTCTTGAGATCGAGTCATCATCTTTGTTCTGATGTCGACCGTGAAGACAAAGGAAAGCATCTTTTCTTCCATGAACAGCAGCCAAGAAAAGAGGAGTTTCGCCTTCGAAATTCCGGTACGAAATGAGGGTAGGATCTCTTTTGGCAATGTTGTTGCAAATGTCCACATTCCCAAGCTCAGCTGCAACATGAAGGGGAGTGTTTCCCTTTGAGTTTTGCATTCTTAGGATGTTCCTACACATGTTTTGGCTTATGTTGTCTAACAAGGTTGTCACAAAGAAGGTTTGGCTTACATATACAGCAATGTGTAACACTGTGTCTTCTGCTTTTGTGATCTTTGCTTCTAGTACTTCAGGGTTTTTCTCATATAACTCTAGAACTTCTCTCCACTGTCCTCTCATGGCATGATTGAATAGACTTTCAAACTCAATCTCAGCCATTTTGTGAGCTAGCTAAACAAGCTTTGTAGTATTGGAAAATGTGTGTTTGTGAGTGAGAATGAAGAGCTTGATTAGTTATCTTCTTCATTAGTACTTATATATATATAGAGAGAAAACTAGTCACTTTGCATAATATTTTATTGTTTCCAAACTATGTGTTGAAGAAAGCTTGGAGGAAGTAAAAAGAATATGCAAGGATTGAATTCATTCTAAAGTGTGAAATAAGTAATCTAAATATCTAACCGGAAATTTGGCGGTTGATATTATTTTCATCTGAAAACACGGGCTTATGTCTTTGTTCAGGGTTTACGTCCTAGTTGTTGATGTTATTTTCATCTGAAAACACACACTTATGTCCTAATTAATGTTATTTTCATCTGAAAACACGAGTTTACGATCTTGTTCAGAATCAGAGTCAGTGTTGTCATAATCTCAATTACTGACTCTAAATGATGACATACATGTGTTTTTAGACGAGAATATATATTATGAACACATGCATAATAAATCATCGTCGCATTAAAACATTATCACTTAATTTAACTATCCATAATTACATTATCATATTTTTTCATCTAAAGGGTCTGCTGAATTTAGAAGAGTTAAATTCAAATTTACATGTATCAAAGAGACAAGAGTATGATAAAAATCAAATCAGAATATAGAATGAAGTGGAAAGCATGACATGCAATAGCTATGGTGTTGTTAAAGGTACACTTTAATAGGCTTTAAACATGTGTTGCAAACACAAAATTCAAAACATTTCACTAAATTAACTTGGTTTTCCTTTGTGTGTAAGATAAGCATTTATCTTGACGAAAGGGACCTGGATTCCAACTTTCAAAATTAAGGTTGTCTTATTTATCATTATTTTATAAGCTCTTGTTTCCTTTTCTAACATTATATCCTAAGATACTTTGCTTTTTGGATTTGTGTTGTAAAAAAACAAATGGAATATATAGATTTGTTGCCTTGTGACAGCCTACTTAGCTGCACATGAACTTCTGAAAAAACCAATTTGGAATAAAGTTTGAAAACTTAAGTTTAAACCAACCATCTCTAACTTTACTTTTTGATAACTTGTTGATTCTGTCTTGGTGCTATTTATGCACAAATACTCTAACTTTACATTCATTTTGACACTTTATGTTGCACTAAGTTCATAACAGTCGAACATCACTGCATTGCGCGAGTCTAAAACCAGTGATCAACAAACTCGAGGTTTGTACTAGACACTACTATAGTAGGTCGAAGATAATCCCCGAAGATGCTTTGCTTTCTTTCCGAGGAGATTCATACGGGAATATCATTAGTAGAGACCTGAAGTCTCCATGTCACATACTGGATATACATATAGTTGATTCCCATAGCAACTCCAAAACCCAAAATCGATGAAAGTAGTATCGAATAAATGGCCGCCAAATGCAACTGCAACAAAGTAACGAGGTTGTGGTTTTACTGAATCAGACGTTATTGTGCCAAAAGAGACTTTATAAAGAAATCTCAACATTCTAACTTACATAAGTATAAAACAGATGCACAATTACTGCCACAAGTGCAAACTCAAGAGCGGCGTATGTCCATATATACTCTTTGATCGCTGCAAACAATGTAAGTAAGCACTCAAAGAAAGAACAATATTGTCATAATGAAGAGAAAAAAAATTCAGGTTTGATTTAGAGTTTATACCAAGGACGATTGCAAAAACAGATGCTAAGAGGCCCAATGTAAAGGAAAACGGTGCCGATAAAATGATAGCTTGAGTCTTCAAATCAGGAAGCTGAACAGTGAGACAAAAGTAAGATCAGAGTACGGAGAAATTGTTTCTTCTCTACTATGAATTATATGCGCAAAAGGAACCGAACGAGTTAAAAGATCAAGTAGATGCCGTAGTATTATATCGAAGGAAATAAGCATACCAGTAGTTGTTCAAGGAAGAAAAAATAGCATATTGTGCTTATCAGGACAAGTACAACGAAGTCTTGCCAAGCACTATAAAAAGAAGAAGCAAAATTAATACTAAATAAGTTTCAATAATCAGTTACGCAAAAAAGTATCCGTGCTAAAAGCGCAGAAAATAACATTGATAACTTAATTTGAAAACATGGATTTCAAAATAATCACCTTAGTGTCTCTGAATTTATGTTTTGGCGATCCTGCAACTGTCTGTTTCTTTGTTGAACGGAGCTGGACACACGGAACAAGGTTACTGGTAAATTCTGAACCTCTTCCAAGCATACATCACATCTCTTGTTTCCTTTTGTGCTGAACCATTTGATTAAACATTCCTCATGCACCAAAGCTAGACCACCTTTGCAACTGCATTCCATTTTAAAGGTGTTTCCTACATCACACGTGTCAAGACATATCCTGCACACGGCTTCCTCTTCGGGAATTTCTTCATCGGCAGTAACTTCTACTGGCGCAGGAGTTATTTGATCTGATAATTGGACAAGAAATTTTGTTTTAGTATGACTCGAAGCCGATAACAAATAAACAGGTCGATAAAATATAGGGTTGTTTGAAACTGTAGTAGTATAAGTAAATGAAACCATATACCGTCACTTGTATCTTGTTGTTCTTGTTCATTGCGGGTAACAAAAGAGACAGATCTTACAATCACAACGTTTCGTGCAGGTATTGTAAGAGACCTCGAAACCTTAGATTTAACATCTTTCTGCATAATTAACATATGAGAAGTTTCATTTTTTCACTTTTTGGTAGAGTAGAGACATAACTACAATAACTGCTAAGATACAATTTTCTGATTCGTGAGTGTAAAGCCAGCATATTTGAAAATCTACAAACAAGGAAACTGAATGAAATAGAAAAGGACATACATGTGGCTTAATCCGTTGTTCATTATATGTCCTCGCAGACACAGGCGTAGAAACTATAGGGGACAGATTAGGCGCATGTGTAACAGGAAGAGAAGTACATCTTGACCATGAAATTTCCGATATGGAGGCCATTCTAGTACTGTCGGGAGCTGTCTTAGGGTCTGAATTAAGTAGACTGCTTGATTCACCATCTACTACATTTTCTTTTCTTTTGAAGCTCAAAGCCCGCAAAAAATCTTTCGGTGATGATATCACTTTAGAGAAACTTTGAGAATGGTCCAAAACCCGCCCTCGTGTGCTACCGCTACCAAACCCTATAGGTCTAGGTGGAACTTGAAGTGAAATATCTGGACGCTTCCCACTGACTCCACTATCTACCACTTTTTTGTTTAGCCCGGTTTCGGTCTGCATATAGCGAAGGCAGTTTAATATATCAAGAAGTAAACAATCATAAAATCGCGCTGAAAGTGAAAAATACAATGCAAAAGTTCAAAAGATCTCATCCCAACACGATTCTGTGATGAATACCAATCATCCTCAACAAGGCAGATTCTGTGATGAATACCAATCATCCTCAACAAGGCAGATTCTGTGATGAATACCAATCATCCTCAACAAGGCAATGACTATAGTAACCTATGAAACACAGACACACCAGAAAGACGACACTAGTAATAATTTGAAAAAATAATTAAATTAATCGTAGTCACAAGTGTCGGTGTCAGTTTGAAACACCAACACTGACACACCTTTTTGTGGAGGTGTTACATAGTCAGAAACACATACAACTGTAAAAGCAATAAACTAAACTAGAAATTTCCTCACCACAAATTCCTGCTTAAGATTCTCCCTGCATAATAAAACAACCCCATGCACGGCTTTTAGTTTTACCTCTCTTTTCTCTCTTTTCTTAAGCTAAAATTATAGTTGAAACATTCACTGCTACTGCCAACAGATCTACAAAATCATGCTGTTATTTGCAGGACACGCATGACCTTAACACACTCTCAACTAAGTTAGAAATACAAGCATTAAAATCGAGAAATCACACCTGTTTGAATTCAATCTCACTCTCACACCTCACAACTGAAGCATCAACATTCTAAATATAGAAACAGAATCAAAATTCAGAAAGAAAAAAACGCTTTTTTAGTTAGTAGACACTTAATAATAAGCTAAAATTGGAAGACCCTTTATATAAATTAAATCAAACCTAAAAAAAAAACTGAAAATCAGATAGTACCAATTACTACAAACCTACAAACATGAAAAGCAAGGAACTTTATACTGTTTAAGATGTTAATTGTGAGAGAAGAACCTGATGGGAAATCATGGGAGCTTCATGAGTTGGTAATGGTTGTTGATCTTGCATTGTCTGCAAATTTTGGGAGTGAAAAGGGAAAAAGTTGGAGAAGAAAGAGAAAGAAGTGATGGGTAGAGAATCCAACAAAGATACTTAAAACCAAGAAAAAATAATTAGGAAATTGTTGCGGATGTTTCTTAAATTAATTAACGTGTGAATTAATAATTAGTATAGACACATAACATCAATCATATTTTGATGTTTATAATGAGGAAGTTGTTGAGGATGTTACTTAAATTATTCACATGTGAAAAATAATTACTTTTTTTTTTTCAAATTATAGAAATTATTTTTGATTTTTTTCAAAAATAAATAATTTATATATTTTTTTATAATCTATACACTATATAAAGGAAATATTTTATTTTGGTGTGATCTATTTTTCTATTATTTTTATTCTTATTTTATTATGTAATTTACTTAATAACTTTTTATTATTAATTTTCAGATAATTTATTATTATTAACTTCCACATAACTTTTTATTATTAACTTTTACATATTATATTTTTTTTTAAAAATTATTTTAATAAAAAATATCGTTTATTATTAACTTTCACATAATTTATTATTATTAACTTTCTCATAATTTTTTATTATTAACTTCTACATATTATATTTTTAAAAAAAATTATTTTAACAAAAAATATCGTTTATATTTTTATACACATTAAAAAAACAGATAGACGGAAAGAACGCTAGTAACAAAGAAAAGCAAAAATGCAAAGAAGAAAAACAAATTAATACTTAATACTACTATTTATTATTTTTTTAAAAAAATTATTAAATATACAATGTATATGTTCTGATACTTAATTATTAAATGTGTCTAAAATAAATTAAAAGACAAATTACTCTAAAATAAAGTAAAATTCAAATTTTGGTTTAAAAATTATTATAACTTTTTTTTTTAAATATTCAAAAAGAGTCGAGAAGATTGAGGGTCTGTTTGAATTACTTTTGATTTTTAATTTTAAAAATTTGTTTTAAAAATTGTTTTGAAAAAAGAGAAGTGAAAAAAAATAGGGTTGGGACTTAAATTTTTAAAAATGGCACTTAAATTTTTAAAAATATGTTGATTTTTAGCTTTAAAAATTTGTTTTGAAAATTTTTTTTAAAACAATATTGAAAAAATATATATGTTTGGCACTTAAATTTTTAAGTGTCAAACTTTTTTTTTCCACTTCTCTTTTTATAAACAGGTTTTCCAAACAATTTTTAAAATAAATTTTTAAGACTAAAAATAAAAAATAATTCAAAAAATTTATTTGTTAATTATGTTTAAAGCGAGTAAGACATCTAATATAGTTATTCTTAACAAAATTTAGGTGGTGTAGTGATGACAGCTCTTATGGAAATTGCAAAATGCTATTGGTGTAGTTGAAATTTCAAAATTCAGATGGTTTATTATAAATCAAATCACTTAAGCAACGCTTCTATTTTTGTAAAAAAAAAAAAATTCGAATTTCAATTTTTAGATAAATCTTATACATTATATGTATGTGTTTGTATTTTCTTACAGTTGAGTGAGTTCGGTGAGTATCAAAATTCAGATAAATTCTTAGACAATTTTTCAACACCTAGATAATAAGGTAGAAGAAATTTTATATTTTTTTAATGAACCTTATATTATAAGTCATTTATAAATCAATCACACAATAAATCATACACATTTTCATTTAATATAAAATCAAATATTCAAACAAAATATTGGTAAGCCATGCATCAGTGCACATAAAATACAAAGAATATAATAAAAAAAATTTAAAATATTAACAACTGTTTAATGTAATATGTCTCTTCTTTCATAAATTACTTCAACTAACTTGGAGTACAAATAAATCAAATAAGTTTCCCCTAATTGTACTCATGAATACTTTCAAACTCAATGAAGGATTTAATATAGAAAATGTCAACATAGATCAAATTTTTGTACATAAATATTCAAGTGTCAATCAAAACCATGAGGTATGACCTCAACACATATCCTCTATAATATGCAATTTGTGCATAATCGCCCATAAAATCCACAATTGCACCCAGACGGTCTTCATAAAGTTTCAGTATGAATGAAAATCTAACAGGACGTCCTCTAGTGTCATATATCTCATGTTGGGCTTTACGCGTGTTATTCCTTTTAGATTAATTGCATTATGCAAAACAACATGGAATAAGTTCAAGTTGTTTCTGGTGCAGAAGGGACACATGTGGAACACGATGCTCCAACATATGTGCTACAATATTTGGCCTCCCTACAAAAGATAAATGATATTGAAGTTTTTGTTCATAATTATTCTATCAAATATCCATTATACTAAGAAGATCTACAATTCATGGAGAATGGTTAATTTAGATGTACTGGTGCAACATGTAGAACATGATGTTCCAGCATGTATACAGTGCAACATCTGACTCTGGTCAGCAGGTCGTGATGGATGTTGTTTGGTACAAAATTTCTAATTGAATCTCAATCAAATTTATTGCAAATTATTTAGCAATGTTTGTGTGATTTGTTTGGCAGTTGTTGAAGATCAAATAATATTTAAATGGAGATTTAAATTTGAATTTGAAATATAATAAATCATATATTTTGTTGGAGATTTTCATGGAGCAAATAAAATCCAACTAATTCAACTATTACTCTGGACAAATTAAATGCAGATGTCCTAGGAGAAAAAACCCAAATATATTTCTATATAAGGAGACTCAATTATCATGTTTTGTGAGAGTTTTTTTGTGCACTAGATTAAGTTCTAAGTTCATAGGATTGTGAGTTTTTGTTTCTTGTATTCCTCGCTAGTGTTGTACTAATGTTAAATATATTTGTGTATGTTGCACCCCAAAATTTGCCCTCTTTCAAGGCTTGACTCATTTCTTCATTTCTTTCAAACTCAATGGCATAAGGGAGGCCCATCATTCCAAATTCAAGGTTCATGAATTCAAGTCTAGATTCAAGAGTTTTTACAAAGAGAAATCTCTTGACATTTTCAAGAATGTTACATTGGTTACCAAATTTCAAACTCTTGATAATGCTTAGGAAATTAAGCTATTTCTAGTCTTAATTCAAGATTCTAAATAACTTCATGCCATGGTATCCCCATGCTCCATCAAGTCCACATGACCCTCCTTGCGCTTACAAACATGCAAGGAAGATGTTTAAGAGCTAATTCAAATGTTGGAATATTTCAAGATCAATACCATGCATGTTCAACCATGAGCAATTTGAATATGATCCAAAACAGCCCCATGCAAGAAGTGGCAATGTGTAGCATATTACAAGATCATTTTATGTCACAAAACCAAGGCTATAAGCTTATGTTGATACATCTACACATCAAAAATCAGAATTTGAAAATTCTGTCCAAAAGGTAATAGTGTTAGCCACATGAATATGTCCAAGCATAACCAACCAATGGGTACAAGGTTGGAAGGCAAGGTAGAGTGCTGCAGAAAATACAGCAAAACAGGCCTAGAAATGGAAAAATGTGGGGCTGCACCAAGAAAGAGGTGATAAGTACTCCCAAAAATGGAAACTTTGAAGATTGAAAGTTGTGCAAGAGCTATGCTTTTGGTACAGCAGAAAATGCAGCAGAAAAAGTGAGATTAGGAGGCTTGGAGGCTGCACAAAACCATCATTCACTATCATACACTAGGATTCACAACAGATTTTGGAGATAGAGATATTGAGAGCAAAAGAGTAAGAGAGAAAACCAGAAAAATAGAGAGAGCAAAAAAACCAGCAAAAGATTTAGAGAGTGAAAGAGAAATACAAGGGAGCCATTGAGAAGGAGAGCCATCAAAGCATAGAGTGAAGAGAAGTGAACACCTAGCCAAAATCAGTGGAGGCTTTGCAAGGAGGGAAACAACTCTTGGGTATCCATTTCTTCAAACTTTTCTCTTCTTTTACATTGTGCATTTATCTTCTATTCTCTTGGTTTGAGTGTTGTTGTGTTTAGTATAACATGTAAGATTCCAAAGGGACCAAGAAACCCTTTTGAGAGAACCACAAAAAGAAGCAAAAAACAAGAGAAAGTTTGGAATTTTTCATCTGGCAGCCCAACACGGGCCATGTCACACGACACGGCCGACTGTGTTACATCACTGCGTGGCTTTTCAAACTGAAAAATGCTTGGGCTCACAACACGGGCCGTGTCACACAACACAGACACCCGTGTTGTATCTCTGTTTGAGGTTTTAACTGGTTTTTGGCCCAGACCTTGTGACACGGGCCGTGTCACACAACACGGTCACCCGTGTCACACAACACGACCGTGTCACACCACTTTTCAACCCAAAACTCATTTTCCTAGAATTGTGACACGGGCCGTGTCACACAACACGGCCACCCGTGTCAGACCCCTGTTTTTCACGTTTTCTCGACTTTTTTACCTCAAAATTTTTTTTTCTCAAGGAGTTCGCACGGCGAACTCGTGCCGTTTTTTTTGTGTTTCGTTTTTTTTTTCTCTTTAAGCCGTTCAACCCGTTATGATTGTTTGGTTTTTATGCATATTTATTGTTGGTCGTTTTTGTCCTTTGGTTCTAAAAACCATTTTCAAGAAAACAAACTCTTGATTCTCATCGAGCCATTTTTGACCTTGTAAGCCGATTGCCTTGTGCGTCGCCATCGACCTTGCTCGCTTCGCCTCAAGTCTTTTTGAGCAACTAAAACCCTTGACCCAACGTCAAGCGAATTTTCTCAAATAATGGTTAAGCCAACTCACCATATTTAACAAAACGATAAAGTTCACTTTGTATTGAACTAAAGAGAGGGGATTTAGTGTAGACTTCTTCCTCTCCGAGTGTTGAGATGCTCACTGTAGTGTGGGTGGTTTTGACACTCGTCTTTCAATATGAAGATGTTTTCTTTCCGTACCCTTTTTCTCCTAAAAAAACCTCGGTCCCGTACCGAGTGCATTTTCAAAACACTTACATTAAATAAACCGATTCTCTTTGTATTGAACTAAAGAGAGAGGATTGAGTGTAAACTTCTTCCTCTCCGAGTGTTTGGAT